CCATGTCTTACAGTCAGCCACAAAAGAAGGACAGAATGGAGTGTTGCTGAGCAGTACACACACCCTTTGTTCGATAGCCAGCCGGATATCACAACGAATATGCCAGATATGGAGTAAGTTGGCGTATGCCAAAAGAGCCTTCTGTATCTGTGTTGGGATTCGCTGATAATTATTATTATTATTGTTTCCTTCAATTCCTAGAGGAATATAGGGCTTCAGCCGTGCGTCTCCATTGCGTTCGGTTCTCTGCTAGAGTCTTCACCTGGCTCCAAGTCTGCCCACACGTTTTCATCTCCTCTTCACATGACCTCCTCCAAGTCACCCTTGCACTGACGACCAACTCGCCGCTTCCCTTTCGGGTTCCATTCGAGCAATGGCTTGTCTAGTGATGTCACTTGATGGTTTCCTCAGAGTATGGCCAATCCATCTCCATTTCTTCCTGCCTATTTGTTGCACAATCGGTTCCTGCTGGGTTGGTTCGCTCATTGCCAGAGATCTCTGTTGCTGATCTTTTCTGGCCGGCCATCTGATCTTGAGTATTGAGCGAAGACAACTGTTAATGAAGGTCTGTAGTTTGTTTGAGATGCTCTTTATGACGCGCAGTGCAAGTCTCTGATCCGTATAGTAGCACTGACTTCACATTGGAGTTGAAAATCCGGATCTTATTTTTGATGCTGAGTGCTGTTGACCTCCACACAGACTTGAGAGTAGTGAAAGCTTGTCTTGCTTTTCCGATTCTTGCTTTGATATCCTCGTCAGATTCGGCCTGTAGTTTAAACGATGCTTCCCAGGTAGGTAAAAGAGGTTGTTTCTTTCAGGTTCCTCCCATTTATGCTGATCGTTGTCTGTTGTTGTTGTTCTTGTCCAGGAATCTTCATCACCTCTGTTTTATCTATGTTCACCTGAAGTCCTATCTTCTCTGGATGCTTCTTCTGCCAACTTGTTGCTTTTCGCTTGCATATCTTCCAGTGTTTGTGGGAAATCAGACATATATCATCGGCGAAGTCCAAATCCTCCTTCGCTGATGCAACTCCTCAAACAAGTGAAGTGGCCAAAGGCCTCTAAATACTCAAAACTTGAAACAGCAGAGTCTATTACAATTCGCCAAAATCAATCGGTGGTCTGAGTACAAAAGAAACGTGTGCAGCCAGCCACTATTTCTGTCCGTACCTGCTATGGAGCTTCTAAATTCACAACTTCTGTGTTACATCCCTTAATTCATCTGATATTCAGTCAGCTTAGTGTTATTTTCTCTCTCCTTCTTACTGATGCTTCACTGAACTGTAGTCACCTATTGACACTATTGATCGATCCAAGGTAATTTAAAACAAAGCACTAATGTTATAAATAACGATACTTGTCTATTTATTAGTATCGTTTATTAAATGTAGGAACTGATGACGAAGGAGTTATCGAGCAGATTATTCTTTATCCTTGAGTCGTATGATATTCTGAGTACCACCTCTCTCGGGACAGGGCTTATTCTCCATTCAAGCAAAGCGCGATAAATGAAATCGATATGCCTCAGTGAAAGTTTCCAGGCTTTATTAATAATATAATAATAATTTACTTTATTCCAAAAACAGTACTTGTGATACAGAATGGAATTTTCAGCATTAATCACAATATTTGCATCTAATTTCCTCAAATTATAAATAAAATTAATCACACAGAAAATTTTTCTACATTTACAATAGGGGTAATGTCAAACAAAAAATGCAGCATATAAAATGGAAATAATAATAATGATAGCAGCTAAGGTAATGATAATAATACAAGTGGAAATTGCCGTGGGCTTGTTTCACACAGTATTGTCAATGCGGTATACAAATCCTTGCATGATTAAAAATATTGAATATAATGTTCTCTTTACATGATATGGTGTTTGCAGTTATGAAAGTAAAAACAAAGAATCAACAGGACCATAAATATAATAGAAATAATAAAAGTAAAACTTGAAGGTATATAAGGATGGATGGAGGAGATTGTTTATTTACTAGATGAAAAAAGGTTAGTCAATTCTTGCCTGACACTATTTTCATCACATAAAATACGTGCCAAGTATGGTATCATAGAATTTTTATACTTAGACGTGCGAGCATACAGTTTTCTGAAGTTACTTCTTGTTCTACCTGAGGAGATGCAAGGTGAAAGCTGAGGGTGAAGTGGATGCTCCAAGTCAGACAAAATCCCTTTAGCAAATTTATTGCACGAAGTCAAGTGCCTATCGACAACGACGTTAAATATGTAGTCCACTGGGACACCACTCATCCTACTGACAGTCTTCAGCATTCTACGAATTGTGACAAAGTCCTTTTTAAGCAAACAAGGAAAGAATAAGGGTGAACAATAAAGAAGAATAGGTAAGATGCAAGAGTTTATGAACTGTAAGAGAAGGGGTTGAGTTATACCCGAGTGCCTTAACTTCTTAATGTAAAATGTCAGGCGGAATATTTTACTGGAGATCGCTGAGACATGAGAAGACCAGGAGAGATCAGAAGAGAGAATAAGTCCAAGATACTTAATTTCTGATTTAATTCCTATATCATTGTCATCAATCTTACAACTGTCATGAGAATCGACGGCTTCTTTTAACTGTCGTTTACATCTTAAGCTGAAATTAACAGTTTGACATTTAGAAGGATTCAGTTTAAGACCGTTAGACTCAGACCATTTACTGACTCCTGACAGAAAGCTATTTATTTTGGTACAATCTAGCTGGGAGTTAACAGCCATTGAAACAGTTAAATCATGAGCGTACTTCACAAAGTTTATTTCATCAAAGTGAGGCAAGTCATGTAAGAAGAAAGAAAAAAGAAAAGGAGAAAGGAAAGTGCCTTGAGGAGGGACACCAGCTTCAGTAGGCAATGAAGTGGAAGACTTCCATTTATACACGGTGTACTGCTTTCTTTCTGAGAAATAAGAATGTAACCAGTTAACAGCCCAACATTCTGTTTGACTTACAGCAAGTTTATTTAATAAGATGTTCCTAGGGACCGAGTCAAAAGCAGATGTATAGTCTAGGAAGGCACAACGAACAAATTTAGCCCCTTTGTCTAGACTGGAAGCAATGTTATGTTTGATATAAGACGGCAGCTGCATCTAAAGTGCTTCTACTGTGCTTATAGGCAAATTGTTTTGGGTCATTAAAGGATTTAAGCGAGGGTACAAGACTAACTAAAAGTAGTTTCTCCATAGTTTTCAAAAAAGGAGAGGTAATAGCAATGGGTATGGGTACAACTTTAATGTCTTTCTAAACGGCAGGCACAATATTACTGGAAAAAGATTTGTTAAACAGATCAGTGAGAGGGTAACACAGAATATCAGAACACTTTTTGAAAATAATACTAGGTACATGATCTGGACCTAAGCTCTGGGAAGGGTTCAGAGACTTGAGGCACTTTTGAACATCATTTGTATTAAAACCTGGAAAGGGGCTATTATTAACACTAGTGATACTGGGAAGCATGGCATTTGAGGGAGAATAAATAAAAGATTTATTAAGAGTACATACATCAGAAGAATATGGAATAATAATAATAATTTGCTTTATTCCAGAAACAGTACTAGTGGTACAGTGTGGAATTTTCAGCACATATCTACAATATTTGCATCTAATTTTACAAACATTTAAAATAAGTATTAAACAAACAAAAAAATAAATCTGAAAACACCAACAGCAAAAAAACAGGATAATCACAAAATAATTATAAATGCGAAAAAGTACAAAAGTCTACCAAAGTCTAATGCAGTGTTTGTGGTGGTAGTGTGAGTAATCCTGAATAATACAAATTTTTTTAAGGTGGTGACTATGGCGTTCACAACCAATGACTGTCAGTTTAATATTGCCGAAAAGTGTAGAAAAATAAGAAAAAACAGCCACAAAACTAATATTACATGATGGTTAATGACAGGACAATTTTGTAATACTCATACTGCTAATAGAGTCGGAACCAGTAGATACACAAAAGAAGGAATATAGTAAAGTACAAAAAAGTAAGCCAATGTTAATAATTTAGGTAGCTAAGTATGTTTGAGAAGGAGTTCACTAAAGAATACAAAATAAGAGAGAAATAAAAGAGCCTAAAATTATGTTGTTAATAACAGAGCAAGTCATAGGTTTCGCGCTTAACATTGTCTCTGTCACTTAGAACACGGGCCAAGTATGGTATCGTTGAGTTCCTGTACTTGGTTGTACGAGCATAAATTATTTTATACTGATTTCTGGTTCTAATTGATGAGATACAAGGCGAGAGTTGGGAATAGAGGGTGTGTTGAGTATGGTTTTAGACCATTTTTCGCATGTATTCAGATGCCTATCAACTAATGTAGTGACGAGCTGACTGAGTTTTACACCACTAGTCCTACTGACTACCTTCAACATCCTTCTCAGGATGGTATAGTCCTTTTTCAGTAGGCCAGGAAAGACTAACGGGGAGCAGTAAAGTAGAATAGGTAAGATACAAGAGTTGACAAATTGTGAAAGTAGAGGTTGGGTGATTCCAGATTGTCTAAGTTTCTTAATGTAGTAGGTAAGACAGAACACTTTCTTAGAAATCATTAGGATATGATTTCTAGGAAAGTGTTCTGTCTTATTGTTTATCTGCTTCTAGAAGCTGTTTCATGCATCACTAACAACGGATCATAACCATAAACCAATGACCTTCAATAGTCTGATCTATTTTTATCTAAAATTCCAATTATACAATGATTGTGTTGAGTTAATTGGCCACATAGTTTCAGTATTCTCTGCCAAGTTTTTAATGACTTGTTACACAATCAGACTGCTGTCATCTTTAAATAATTATCACACCATAATCATATGATAGGTAAATAGTTGCAGTTTATTTTTTTGTTGTTGATTTTTTTATAAATGGTTGACGTGTGAAATCTTCTTCAGGTATAAAGGTTGAGTTAAATTCCTCACCAGAGCCAAAATTTCACATCTCGTGTGAGTATCTATCTATCTATCTGTCTTTCTGTGAGTGAGTGTTTTAACAATGCCTGAAAGTCAAAAGCCATCAAGTAGATGGAATGCTATACAACTGAGCATCATTTTTGGATGCTTGCTAGTGATTAGTGCACTACTCTACGTGATTATCCACCTGTTAACGCAACCTTCTGAAGGTAAGAATATTCGCTTTTTATAATGTACATGGTTTATTCGATTAATTCCTGAGCTTAACAAATAGTTTTATATATATACATGCCTCTGGTTTGATGACGGATTGATATCAGTTAGAGTCTCATTGAAAACCGAACCAGGGAGCACTGGACAGCTGGCTGTTTCCTGCTAGTTTCCAATTCATTCCTGGCAGCCTCCGGTTACAAGGCGAGCGCTCGTAGATTATTCATCCACTAGGAGCTGACTGACCAACAGGCAACTCATGAATTACAACTTCTGCCACTGCGTGATTTTTGATTTGAACTGATAAATACAACACGTAGATATGGCAAAACTATCTAACTTATCCTTCATTTCAGTGTGATCTAATCATTCGTCGACTAGACAGAGAATGATAAACATAGGTCAAGGAATTATGAATATACATTCATTTAATTTCTTTTGTAAGTGATTATCCATACACTGTCTTTCTTGCTTTGCTCGTGAGACACCTAACAACACTTTCTTTCTTTTATATTTAATGGACACGTAACTGAGGGAGTGCGCGTATTTCCCTGTGAATGTACTTCTTCTACAAACGCTTCTTCCAAGTGACCAATGTTCTTGCCTAATTTAACTTTGTATAGTTTGAGTAGGAAGTCTTTTCCAAAGAATCTCAAGGAGGTTGGACTTTCTTGGCAAAATTTTGACTTTTTACGAGTTGATCACGGACTGATATCAGTTAGAGAACCATTGAAAACCAGTATGGAGTACTGGACAGCTGCTGTTTCATCCTAGTTTGGGAATCATCGGCAATACACTAGTGACTTGCTACAGGTTGGAGCTTCCTGGAGTTCTAGTGAGAAGTCATGACCAGTGAGGTCCAATTAGATGTCACGTGTGTGGATGGATGTCCCACCAATGGCAATGGCTGGGGTCGCGCTCAAATCACGAATTAGTAGAAGTTAGAATTCATGCACTGGCCATTGAATCGGGTCCCAGTGGCTGAATGGTATACGAGCTTGCGTTGTAACCGGAAGGTCCTGGGTTCGAATCCCAGTGGGTGCGTACTGCCGATGATTCCCAAACTAGGATGAAACAGCAGCTGTCCAGTACTCCGTGCTGGTTTTCAATGGTTCTCTAACTGATGTCAGTCCGTGATCAACTCGTAAAACATATCTAATCCTTACAAACCAAACTATAGAAAATACTTCCTTTTATATTTAATGGACATGTAACTGAGGAAGTGCGCGTATTCTCCTGTGAATGTTCTTCTTCTACACACGAATCTTCCAAATGACCCATCATTTCGTTTAATTCAACTTTGCATTGTATGATCAGCAAGTCTTTTCCATAGAATCTCAAAGTGGTGAACTTTATTGGCAAAATTTTGACTAAAAACCAGACAAGAAGACATAGTTTCTCTGAAATATTAACTGAGTAAATTTTGAACTCGTGTTTTATATTCACAGGATTTTACTTTTGTTATATTGAACCCTTCTTTTTATGTGGTTCACTCCTTAAATTGAAGATTATTCATATACTAACTTCTTTACAATTATGTTTTCGATTCCTCTGTTATGAATTTCGCTAATAACGATTTCACATCTGTTTTTATAATCTGGATATGTTTTTGTGCGTGTGTGTGAGATAAGTCTGTTTGCATACATTGTTCTCATTTATACATGAAACATAATAATAATTTTTGCTTTATTCCAAAAACAGTATTAATGATACAGCAAGGAATTTTCAGCATTCAGTACAGTATTGCATCTAATTTACTCAAAAACGACAACAACAAACAAAAAAAGTAGATAAACGGAATAATTAATACATAATAATGATAACAAAACGTTTTTATAGGAGCTATGTAGCAATTACAGTAGAGGATAAAGAGAAAAATATAAAATTATAGTAATGATAGTAATAACAACTAAAATAAAAATAGCTAAGTTATAATTAAACGATAGAAAGGGTGACACCATAGAATTACAGAAAGATGAACAATGAAAGGGTCGATTCACTATGCTAATTACATAGTAACTTATATGTTTCACGTCTAACAGTGTCTTCATCACATAAAATACGGGCTAAGTACGGTATTGTAGAATTTTTGTACTTAGTGGTTCGAGCATATAACTTCTTACACTGACTTCTCGTCCTACCTGATGAGATACAAGGGGATAATTGTGAATAAAGAGGGTGCAGAGGGTCTGACAGTATGGCCTTCGCTCATTTTGTAAGGGAATTTATGTGTCTCTCGACTATGGTATTGGCGAGATCACGCAGTGGCAAACCACAAGGCCTACTCACAGCATTTAATACCCTTCGTAATACGGCATAGTCTTTTTTAAGAAGCCCAGGAAAGATTAATGGAGAACAATAAAGTAAAATGGGTAAAATACAGGAGTTTAAAAATCGCAGAACTAAAGGTTGGCTGATACCTTGTTGTCTTAACTTTTTAATGTAGAAGGTAAGACGAAACATTTTCTTAGAGACCAATAAAATGTGAGATGACCATGAAAGGTCCGAGGAAAGAACTAATCCAAGGTATTTAATGCTTGATTTGGTTTCAATTTCTGTACCATCTATGCTACAGGCATCATGGGAACTAACTAGTTCATGTATATCACGTCGATGGTTGAAGGTAAAGTTAACTGCCTGACATTTGGAAGGATTTAACATAAGACCATTTGACTTAGACCACATGCTGATGTCCAACAAAAAGCTATTAAGTTTGGAGCAGTCAGACTCAGAAGTGATAGGCAGTGATACAGTCAGATCATCAGCATATTTGACAAAATTGGTTTCGTTTAAATGTGGCAGGTCATGTAAGAAGAAAGAAAAAAGAAAGGGAGAGAGGACGGCACCTTGAGGAACACCGGCTTTTGTAAGCAAAGCAGAAGAAGATTTGCCATTATATGCAGTATACTGCATTCTATCAGAAAAATAAGAATGCAACCAACTCTTAGCCCAGGATGCTGTGTGCGTCAAGGAGAGCTTATTTAATAAAAGGCCCCTAGGTACAGAGTCAAACGCAGATGTGTAGTCTAGGAAAGCACCACGGACATATTTGGCACCTTTGTCTAAACAAGAAACAACATTATGATATAAGACAACCGCAGCATCCAAGGTACTTCTACCATGTTTATATGCAAATTGCTTAGGGTCATTAAAAGCTTTCAATGAAGGTTCAAGACGAAGTAAAAGTAGTTTTTCCATCAATTTTAAAAAAGGAGAAGTAATTGCAATGGGCCTAAATTTACTATCGGTACCAGAAGATTGTTTTGGTATAGGGACAATTTTAATGTTTTTCCATGCAGAAGGTAGAACATTACTGGAAAAGGAAGTATTAAAAATATTAGTAAGAGGGTAACACAAAATACCAGCACAGTTCCTGAGGACAATGGCAGGTACGCCATCAGGACCAAGGCTTTGGGAAGGCTTAAGAGAACGGAGACATTTAAGCACATCAAGGGTATTAAAACCATTAAAATTATTGTCTATGTGATTTGTATCATTAGGAAGGATATCGTCAGAGGAGCGTATGAAAGACTTATTAAGATTATTAACATTAAGAGATTGTACAGAATTACACCGCTTACCGCTAGTTATTTCTTTAAAAAGTTTCCATAAACTAGAAGGGGTTTTACATGACAAAAATCTTTGGTTGTATAAAACATTTAGTCTGTGCATTTCGAGTTTTATCAGAGGATTTAGCTTTTTTACACCTGACTTATCATTTGTTTTGAACAACAGTTCTTTATCTCTACGGAGCTTTTTGAGATATGGAGAAGAGAAACGGTCAAAACGAGTGAATAATGTTTCTTTAGGACAACATATTTCCAAACAGAATTTAAGATAATCTGTGGTGTTTGTGATTGTGTCATTTAATGTTTGTTCTGTAAATAGGTCCCAGTTAGTATCTATCAACATGCATCTGAGTTTGCTTAGATTATCTTGTGAGTAGCATCTCCGTTGAAATTTACTGTAGAGGTAAGAGAAGACACGTTTGTGTGATTTGGAATATATTTTAGGCAGTACACGTATGATGCAGTGGTCAGAGTTCAATACAGGAGCACGTTTGCGAGCTTCATATATACCAACATCATTGATGAATACTAGATCTAGTGTTTTTTCGAGACGGGTAGCAAAGTTAACAATATTGTCATGGCCAAGTGATATAAGGAAGGAGTGATCACAAGAGTTAAAATCGCCAGTCACTATTGATAAAGAGTTCTCGAAACAAGCTGCAGCAAAAGCGGTGAATTCATCTGCGAACATAGATAAATCCGATATGGTACAGCCAGGAGAGACATAAACATTAGAAATATAAATGAATTTGTATTTTGACAAGTGTCTCGGGCGACATCTGACAGTGATGCAATCAATGTAGTCATTCGAGAATTTGAAACAAACATTGTTAGAAATAGACCATTTTGAGTGAATAAATGTAGCTACTCCACCGCCGCATTTTTTCTTGGAACAAACACGGTCTTGTCGGAATACATTAAAATCATTTAAAGATACTATATTGTCATCATATGAGTCATGAAGCCAGGTTTCTTGTAGAGTTACAATACCAGTATTATGATAAGTTTCGGACGACAACAGGGACTGAAAATCCAGAATTTTGTTAGGCAGTGACCGACAGTTCGTACTAACGATAACCGGAACAGTAGTTTGACGTATGGGTGTAGATTTCAAAGCACGTTGCCAACCACCATGGTGCTTTTTCTTGAGTTTATTGCAAATATGAAAGTTTTTAGGTTTTAAGCATTTTATATAATCCCGAGAGTGAATGATACGATTAGAATGCATAATTTTAAATGTAAACACCAACAAAATATGAGTAAATAGATGCAAAATGTACATGGAATATGGTGTTAAGAGAATGTACACTTTAATTAAAGCTGAATTACAAAAACCAAATGCTCTCTATAACCAGAAGTTTCTTTCATGTAAATCCTCATCTAATATGTGGAAGCTATTAAAGGAAATCACAGGTGGTTAGCAAATAATG